TCAGTGACCCGCATTCGCGAAGCCCTGTAGTTTCCTCCTTCGCGTTCGCAGCCTATCCATCGCATTCGCATAGTCCAATTTGGCCCTGGGGGGGGGGGAGGGGGGAGGGGGGGCTGATCCTATTTTATTCATCGCGTTCGCGTGACTCTTGTCGGGTTCGCGTAGCACTGCCAGTCCAGGCCTTCGCTTTCGCGTACCATTCCACGCGTTCGCGAAGGGCAATTTTACAACCTTCACTTTTTCTTCTTCGCGAACGCGAGCCTACTTCCGCGTTCGCGATGCATTAAATGGCTGGACAGTTATAAACAATTCAAAACCGAGGGTTAGCCATTTTTTTAATCAAAACAGAAGCTTGGGAGCTCGGATTTGGGAGAAATTTCGAGGGATTTTCGAGGGCAACGACTGGGTAATGATTCTCTGCTCTCTTATGCTTAAAACCCACTAATCTAATCACGAATTCCTCCTTAATTTTGGATTTTTGAATGAAAGATGGGTAAAACTTCATAGACCAAATTATTGAGTTTTGCGTGGGTGTTTGACCTCCGATTTGAGAGATTTTTATGTGGTTAGACTCGTGAGAGTACGAGGGTTCTGAAAATGTAAAATTTATTCGGTTCCGAGACGTTGGCCTGAGGGGCGTTTTGGTTATTTTACCTAATTTCGCGTCTTAGCTTTAAATTAAATAGTAGAATCAGTTGCTTCAGATGTTATTTACGATATGTAATTGAATTGAATAGATTTGGGCCATTTGGAGTCGGATACTCGTGGCAAACGCGTGGTTTCGAGTTCATTTTGGAGCCGGTTTGAGGTAAGTGGCTTGTCTAACTTTGTATGGGGGACCTTTCCCCTTAGGATATGATATTTGGTAATTGAATGCCTTGTACGTGAGGTGACGAGCGCGTACTTGAGCTAATGGTTGAAAATGCGATTTTACTTTAAATATTTAGACTGTGTTTCTTTCTTATCTGCTTATTCCATTTGCAACTATAGCCTGTGTTAGTTAGAAAAGCATGCTTAGTTGGTCTAAATTGCCTATTTGCTCAAGTTGCTTTGTTTGTACTACGTGAAGCATGTTAGGCTAGAACTACTTGTTGCCTTGTATCGTAGAACTTCATTTCTGGATATCTTCTTGCTGTGACTGCATATTTACATTGGGACTACGGATGTGGGATTCCGGTAGCTCCCCCCTTTGTTTGTTTACTTTGGGACTACGGGTTAGATTCCCGGTAGATCCCCCTGCACCTTTACTTTGGGACTACGGGTTAGATTCCCGGTAGATCCCCCCTGCACTTTGACAGCCGGACTACGGGACGGTATCCCGGGAGCTCCTTGGACAGTTGATGAAAGGGACTACAGGACGGTATCCTGGGAGATCCTCGTTATTGGTATTGATATTGAGCTGTTTTACTCTGTGTTATCTTATTCTCTAAGTGTTACTTGTTGCCTTGTATAACTTGTCTTACTTCATAGATGTACTCATTATTTCTGTTTATTTCATGCTGTTGCAAGACTTATTATTATGTTTATTCTCAGTAGGGCCCTGACCTTCCTCGTCACTACCCAACCGAGGTTAGGCTTGACACTTACTGAGTACCGCTGTGGTGTACTCATGCCCCTTCTGCGCATGTTTTTCATGTGCAGATCCAGGTAGCTCTACCCAGGCGTATCATCCTCGAGGCGAAGAGACCTAGCAGAGACTTCGAGGTACATCTGCCGCGTCCGTAGACCAGGAGTCTCTATCTTATTCTAGCTTTAGCAGTTAGCTTTTCCTTTCGTACTGTTGTTTTAGACACTCTGGAGTTAGAGCAGTGTATTACTTTCCGTTAGCTTGTGTTCCCGTGAGTTTCCGGATTTTGGGATGATAATGTAGACTTCCGCGTTATTGAGTTGTATGTGCCGAGCGGCATTTATATACAGTTTTCTTTCTAGTTTGTTTAGTTTTAATTATTGGTTTCCGCAAGTTATGTTATTTCGGCATTGTTAGGCTTACCTAATCGTAGGGACTAGGTGCCATCACGACATGTTCACGGAGGGCGAACTGGGGTCGTGACAACCGAATAATAATACTCTTCATCCGTCAAAGTGTTTGATGACATAACTCTTAAATTACATGTGTCAATTTACATGGCAATGGAGAAAATCAACAAGAATTCTGTTTGACAAGGTGCAAAAAATAGCAACTATAGTATGATATTATAAATGGATAATAACAAGGGTATTTTTGTTGCGTACTTCTAACGGTGGGCGATCTAGTCATGATTTGAGATTTATGAGTTTCTATATCAACCCCAAATTAATAATACTATCAATAATAACTAGATTTACTATCAAATATTTATAGATATTTAATAGCTACTAGATCCGTGTGAAGCCATATGTTGCATGATAGATCTGATGGATTATTATATGCAGCGGAAGCAATCCCAGTATCAAAATCACATATAATCTAGACAACTAGCATAAACGGGATTTCACGGGTTACCTCTTGAAGCGTGAACAAATCTCTTCTATCACGTGAGCCTTCAATTCCATAACTTTTCAATGGAATCTCCATCACCCGCGCAATCGTAATCCTCGAACGTTCCACGGTCTTCTACTGTGTTACCCAAATAATACCCGAAAATAGTAATTTCGTGTGGGCGAAATTTTCTAAGGAAAAGGCTGAAAATTTCGGCCACTATGTCCTCCTCCTCTAGGTGGAAAACCTTATGTATTTATAGCACAACTTTTAAGGGTTAAAACCCTTTTTCAAAACCTGTTAGGTTTTCCTTTCCACCAGAAAAAGGATTCCTTTATTTTCTATTATTTAGGCACAGCAGGGACCACAGAATTTAATTAACAAGGCTCCAATTATGGAATTAATTTCCAATTTTCGAAATTAATATCTACCATAATTAATTACGAATTATTCCACTAAAAATTCGTAATTGTACTCCTTATTCAATTTCGAAATTCATCCATTAAATCTTATTTAACTCCCCATGTTAAGATTCAGATACTAATCAATTAAATTAAATTACTGACGATTTAATTTATTGATTATTTCTTTTAGACTTTCGCTTAACTTATTTCATGTGTCGGATACAAAATCCACCGGCCGGGTTTACACATGAAAACTTATAAGCTTTCATAAAGGTGTATCATCAATCTCTAAACCGAGACATGGATTCCATCAACTAACTATTACTTCGCCAATGTACATTATTATTATCCAATTTACCAGGCATATTGACCCACAAAAGAATCTCGCCTTTTAATAAATCAAAACAATAATAATGCATACAGCTAATAATAATTATATCAAGATTAAGAGTATAAGTACATTTAATGGCTAGAGAGTTTATTTTATTAAGTCAGTATAAAATACTTATCTCTACTTGGTCCGTTCAATACATACAAAATGTACTAGCACAAGAAGTTTGAATTAAACCATTCCCATAATCAAGATAAATTATATTTAATCTTGTGCTACAATCATTCCTGATGGTTTGTCCAATTCCATCATTAAATTGTGAACTCAAACTTTATACTTATAAGAACCGATGATTTAATCTTCCGTGTATAAGCTAAACTCTATACACTAAATCATCTACTATATAAGCAAAGGACACAGACTAATATATGATCTATTTAAAACTTTATTAAAATTGAATGAACAATTATATCATAATAAATACTATATCTAAACCAAATCCATGGTCAATAGTATATATCCCAACAATCTCGCACTTAGACTTTTAACCATGACAATTGTCAGAATATACTATATCTAAACGCATGGTTAATAGTATATGCCTCAATAAGATCCACCTCTAGAACTTTATGATATACTCCCTCTGATCCGTTCATTTTTACTTGTCTACTATACTAAAAATATATTCTAATTTTTATTTGTCTACTATACTAAATCAAGAGAAAGACAATCTTTTTTCCTGTTTAACTTTAGGAAAAACTCTTGTCCTAAAGCAGTAAGTTGGGCAACCCCAATAGAAGTAAGCCAATCCAAACGGGCTCTAAGCCTGCATCAAGTCTAACTTTAGGAAAAACTCTTGTCCGAAAATAGAAGTAATCCCCATAGAAAGCTTTCTGTCACTATTTCTGGAAAAAAAATTAGTATTTCCTTAGTTCTCATAGTGAAGTTATATTCGAGAAAAAGGAACAGAAAAAAGGTAGTATATGCGTAGATGATTGATGAAGTGAAGAAATGTCTCTGCCACAGATAATGTCATACTGATATTTAAGTACGCTTTTACTTCCACAACCCTAGACCCTACAATAAAGGAAAGTGTTCAGAATTTTCAAATCACTAAAACAACTAGCTACTCCATCAGCATTCAGAGAACCAATGCGTTTTCGATATTTCATTGGATCGTACTCATTTATGTATTTTCAAACATTATACCAAAACTTTCCATTTTTATCATGTACTGTTCCTCTTCATGGAGTATTTTATCTTTGGCACTCTTTAATTTCCTTTTACATCTCTTTTTTCTATTTTTAGTTAACCTTGTAAGTTTACTAAAACTAGCATAGAATGAAGTTTTGGTATCCACTTAATTAATTATTACTATTATTATTATTCTCTCTCTTCCGGTTTACGTAAACCTATTTTCTTTTTGGTCAATTCCAAAAAAAATGGTCCCTTTTTAAATTTGGAAATAATTTAGCAAACTTCCAACTCTACCCTTAATAAGAAGCAATTATAATCACACAAATACTTTGGACCCCTTTCTGACATGTTTAGAACCACAAATTCTAAAAGTCTTCATTTTTTCTTACTCTGTGCCCAGTCAATCAGGTTCACATTAATTGGAACGGAGGGAGTATTATTATTAAAATCATTTTAATCTTTTTCTTTCTTTTCATAGTGGGGCTTTATGAAGAAGACCACGGGAAAATGAAAGAAAGAGTATAGCACATGAATAATAAGGAAAGAAATAGAAGTATGTGGCGTTGTCCCTTTATTGCTTTTGATGATATATATATATATAGTACCATTAATTGGGGCTGAGAATCAAGCAAAACTTTGCACTACTCTCTCTCTCTTTTGTCTTCCTTTTTAGCTTTACTCCTATCTTTCGTTTCACCTGCATTTTGCTAAATTTGTAAGTCCCCATTGCTACTCAACATGTACTAGTTAGACTCTTTTCCTCATTCTTCTATTTCATGTTTTCTGTCTTCCTTAAAACTTGCAAATAATATCTTTTCTGGTATATATATGTGTATATATATATATATGTATATTGGTACTTGTTAATAATAACGTGGATTAATTGCTTTTTTGATCCTTCTTCTTTCAGAAGGGAGAGATGGTGAGAGGGAAGACTCAGATGAGGCGTATAGAGAACGCGACAAGCAGGCAAGTTACTTTCTCTAAACGCAGAAATGGTTTGCTAAAGAAAGCATTTGAGCTTTCAGTACTATGTGATGCTGAGGTTGGTTTGGTTATATTTTCTCCAAGAGGAAAGCTTTATGAATTTGCCAGCTCTAGGTACCACCATCTCTTTCTTACTTTTCCTTATCAAATCTACATGTCAAAGATTGTATTTGTTTTCCTTTCAGCTCGCATCAGATCTAATCTTGTACGGACCTGGAAAATCCTGAAACAAAAAGTGATGATGTAAATGATCTATGTTTAGATATGGATGTAGATTCCAATTAGTTTCATTTAATACTTAAAGAAGAGAGCGAAATACAAATTTAGGAAGTTGACTGACATTCTGTCTTGTCTATCTAATTCAAGAAGAGGTTCTTTATAAATATAGTTGCAGTAATAGCTTCTCCATGCTAAGATTTCATGATCAAGAGCTTGGTACTATATATCCATTTAGAATCTTAACCCTAGTTAAAGGATTCATCTTCAATGAAATTTTATTACCAAGATAATGATACTAATTTATCAATGCAATTTTGTTCCTATAACCTAAAAAGGAAATAGTCATGTTAACTTCTTATGACCAAAGATTTTCTTGAGTAATCAGAAGACAACAGTAGTTGAAGTTGAAACTATATATGCTCCTCATCTCATGTGTGGTTTAAAGTTTAAAGGGGCCCTTAGGTTCAAGGTATTAGGTGAGTTATCCTAGTATATAAGTTTTGGGATTAAATTTATCCCGTGTTTGATTGAGGATATTAACGGTATTATTTTTTATAGCAAAATCTTGGTACATCTTATCCTATATACATAAGGTGGAATAGGTTATCCATCTTTTAATCTTTGTTTTAATTTAGATTATAATTAATCCTTGAATATCCTGATTTTAAACAAAATGGCCCCTAAATATTTCTCGTTTGGGATTAAAACTTATTACTATCATCAAAGTTATTGCTACTAGTACTCTATTTTATGCTCCCTGTCTTGTTTGGTAAAGACTATACTCTTGGGCTGTTTCCTTTATTACACACCTTAAGAATCTTTTGGGCAGAACTATATTGTACGGAGATCAATCCACAACGTTGCAGATCCCAAATCACTATGTGCCCTTTGAATATGATATTATTCTGTCAGTAAAATCTTCATGCTACTTTCTTTTCTTTGTGGTTAGTGTTTGAGTCGAGAATATCCATGTTATTACCCACTAATTACTGCATCCCTAAACAATGTCAAGGAGACATTAACTTTGACAACCTAATATATATATATCCCCAAAGGCATGCTTCCATAACAGCAAACACAGAAACAAAATGAGAAGCCACACATAGTTTTATTCTTATTTTTATATAATGGTATTGTCCGGATTAGCTTGTGTGTACCTTTAGTATATTCTACGGAATTACCTGCTATTTTCCACTTGCGTACATACTGTGTATTTCCACTTGCGTAGATACTATGTATTTCCGTCCACCAAAGTTTGGGTATATGAAAAAAGAATCATCAAATGCTTTCGTTGTGTGAATATATAACCTTAATTATACATAAAGAAATAACATTTCCTTCCCTATCAAGTTCTTTTTTTTTTCCAGTCCCAGAGGGTAATACTCCCTCTATCTCTATTCCATTTTATATGAATATGTTACTGTTTGAGAAACAACTTCAACAACAACAACAACATACCTAGTATTATCCTATACCGTGGGGTCTAGGATGGGTAGTATGTATGCAGACCTTACCCCTACCTTGTGGAGATAGAGAGGATGTTTTCAATAGACCCCTGGCTCAGGAAAGCATAAGCACCACATTAATGAAAATATAGACAAGAAGGGACAGTACCAAAAAGCCATATAAAAGTAGAATAAAACCAACAAGATAGTTATAAGGTGATCAACAATGAAAGAAAACAACGGTTAGTCATAAAAACCTACTACCAACAGAAAGCGAGACTGCGTGCCAATACTACTGTCATGAACACTCTAGACTACCTACTCTATTACCCTAATCCTCGACCTCCATACCTTCCTATCAAGGGTCATGTCCTCGGTCAGATGAAACTGTGTCATGTCTTGCATAATCACCTCTCCCCACCTCTTCTTTAGCCTACCTCTACCTCTCCGCAGGCCCTCCAACGTCCCGCTCATACCTCCTCACTGGGGCGTCTGTGCTCCTCCTCCTCACATGACCAAACCACCTAAGACGCGCTTCCTGCATCTTGTCCTCAATAGGGGCCACACCCACATTCTCGCAAATAACCTCATTTCTGATCCTATCTAACCTGGTGTGCCCACACATCCATCTCAACATCCTCATCTCTGCTACCTTCATCTTCTGAACATGAGCGATCTTGACTGGCCAACACTCTGCCCTATACAACATCATTGGTCTGACCACCACTCTGTAGAACTTACCCTTAAGAAATTAAATAGTATTTCTTTGGATTATGATTTTCTCAAACTCTTCTTAAATATTTTGAGTAATTAACTATATATGCTGACTCATGCATTAGCAACAAGTAGATGCAGTCGTTTATTCGTATTGGCTTAAAGGGCAGTCCGGTGCACTAAGCTCCCGCTATGCGCGGCGTACGAGTAAGGATCGGACCACAAGGATCTATTGTATGCAGCCTTGACCTGCATTTCTGCAAGAGTCCGTTTTTACGGCTTGAACTCGTGACCTCTTGGTCACCCTTCATCCATATTGGCTTATGGTAAAATATTGGCCACCTTCCAATTTTGACCAAATATTAACTATCTCAGGAGTACTGCGAAAGGTGCTTATGTTCTTATTACAACATATGCTTGTCAAACTTTATTTAGCTCCTTTAATTTGTTGGTTCCCTGTACAAAAGAAAAGAAAGAAAAGAGTAACAGGGAGAAATTGGCAGCATGCAGGAGATAATAGAGCGCTATAAAAGACACTCTAAAGACAAAGTTCTACCTGAAAACCAAGCAGTGGGACACAATATGCAGGTTTGTGCCTTTTTTATGACTCCTTGGCAATTAGTGTTTTGCAAAAATCATTAAATCAAGGCTTACTATAGCTTATACAAAAATGCAGCATTTGAAGCATGAGACAGCAAGTTTGATGAAGAAGATAGAACTTCTTGAAACATCTAAAAGGTTCAATTAAACCCTATGTCAGAAGCTATTTCATTTTAACATTTTTTTTCTTTTTCCTTTCCCAGTAATTAACGCTGAAGGCCTTTCTAAAACAAATGGAATTTGCGACAGGAAACTCTTGGGAGAAGGTTTAGGGTCCTGTACCCTAGAAGAATTACAGCAAATAGAAAAACAGTTGGAGCGGAGTGTTAGCGCCATCCGGTCGCGAAAGGTTTAGTTCTTCTTACAACCCCAATCCATGATCTATTCACTACTGAAGTGTGTGACTGTCTCATGCATCTAAAAGCTTAAGCTGTTAGACAGATCAACTCACGTTTATTACTTTATTTGGTGTTCAACATTTACTTCCCAAGTCCTATGAAATATAAGGAACTTAACATTTATTTTTTCTTTTTTTTCAGATGCAAGTCTTTAGGGAACAAATGCAAAGATTGAAAGAAAAGGTGAGGCTGCAATCATTGACTCTAGGCATGATTTTCTTGCTTCTTATGCTTTAAGTAACTTACTAATTGTTTGTCTCATGTGTTCTGTCTGATATCCAGGAGAAAGCCCTTGCAGTTGAAAATGCAATGCTGAGGGAGAAGGTATATATCTTTAGGTCACAAATATTTAAATACATATCCATTGCCACAATATGAAGGGTGGCCTTGGCGTAGCATATAAAATTGTTGCCATGTGATCAGGAGGTCACGGGTTCGAGCTGTGGAAATAACCTCTTGCAAAAATGCAGGGTAAAACTGCGTACAATAGTCCCTTGTGGTCCGGCCCTTCCCCGGGGCCCGCGTATAACGGGAGCTTAGTGCAACGGGCTGCCCTTTTATATCCATTGCCACGGAGCGTAGTGATATTTCTCGCATATTGATTTAAAATTCTAAATCTGCATGATGTCTCGATCAACCTAATTGTGTTTTTCTTTTATCCGAGTCCGCTTTATAAGCATAAACTTAGGTGATAAGTCATACTATATAATTTGCTTTTACGTTTGTTTTAGTTTGGAGGTCATCAACAGAGACAAACATCAACCGGAGAGAAGGAAGGAGAAGTTATTTGTATAGAGGGAAGTAGCGATAAATCGGATGTGGAGACAGAATTGTTTATTGGACCACCTGATGAATGTAGAATAAGGCGTCCCTTACAGAATTGATCATATATAGGTGAATTATTTTTGGAGTACTATCCCTTATCTGCAGTTTAAAATGTATAAACTTTGATCAATTATCGAATATTATTACCTGCTAAAAGATTTTTGTACTCTCGCTAGCAACCAGACCCCATTAGTGGAATTTCACTGATCGTTGTTGTTGTTTTACTCTCGCCAGCAATATATAGGCCTTATAAGTGGTTAATTTCAGCTGATGGACCTTTGATCACTTCTTTACTTGGAATGTGCAATATATTTCCTTTTACATTATTAATCAATAAAGCTCCTTTCTTTATAAAGTTCAACACACTTTCACATTATGTTTTCTTAAATTTATCTACTTATAGTTAGTGTATTGGAAAAAAACTGAATTTAAATATTGAAGATGACGTGTCATGACACGTGGACCGGTCAAATAGTCAAAGCATGGTAATCGGTTAGAAGGCACGAGCAACATCAAATGCGGGAGAGAAGATACTTAAAGGCACGAGCTATTATTCAGATGAAACGAGACTCGTACCTATTCGAGTCATTTAAAGCTCGGAGATCAGAAGGAATTGAAGACATGAATCTGATAGCGTAAAAGAGTCCAAATTCAACATTAAATGCCAAATACGTTAGAGAATTTGTATTTAATAAGAATGATTGAGTAACGTTTCTTTTAATGTCATTTATTGCTCGTAATTGCCTCATTAAGACAAAGGCATTACACTTTCTCTTAGAATTAACTATAAAAGAAGAAACTCACAACATCTGCAGGACACGAAATATCATTGTGATTATACTGAAATATATACTTATTCATTGCTTTATTGTTGTTCTCTAAATCTCTCATTTCTTGATTATCAGTAACTCGATTTCTCTCTTAAATTCTAGCTTTAACCAAATATTCAGTTATTTGGTTAAACAAATTGGTTCCGTTACCGGGAATCTGATAATCTATTCTCTTTAAGTTACATTTTATCTGTTGTTATCATCATGTCGAACAACAACAACAACAATAACAATGAAAATACCTTGGGAAACCATGAAAATCAAATCCATCAAAATCAAGGTGATTTACAAAACATTAACGTGGTTCCTTCCCCTCAAAATTTACCACGTCAATCTCGTGAAGGCACTCCTACTCCTGAATCTCGTGCTGTTGAACAAGAGCAATCTGAATATTTTGAAGGAGCAGATGACGCTTTACAGAAAGTAATTGATGCATGGGTTAACAAAGCTCTTTAGTCGATTACCTGTTGCACCACCCACACCTACGCCTAATAACAATACATTGGAGAATCCTCGTTCTGGCCTTGTTAATTCTGGAAATGGAGGAACCCCCAGTGAACCACAGGAAGGAGAACCAGGTAATTCAAGTAATTCTCATTTGCAAAATTTAGTACTAACTTTGCAGAAACAGCTTAAGGAACAAAATAAGCTCATCGAGCAAACCCCTGGAGTTCCCCCTGTGATCAAAGGAGTGGATGTGGATAAATACTCGCAACAACCTTGGAAACCAAGTGCTGCTCCCCTTCCAATCCCTAAAAAGTTCAAAATGCCTGACATCTCGAAATATGATGGCACAACAGACCCACGTGATCACGTAACTGCATTTACTACAGGTGTAAAAGGCAACGATTTGACCAAGCAAGAAATTGAATCCGTGTTGGTAAAAATTTTTGGAGAAACACTCACCAAGGGTGCATTAACCTGGTATTCTCTTTTACCTGAAAATTCTATAAACTCTTTTGCTGAGCTTGCAGATTCTTTTATTAAAGCGCACTCGGGAGCTCAAAAGGTTGAAAAAAGAATGGAAGACATTTTCAAAATTAAATAAGGGGACTCAGAGTTGCTCAGAGATTTTGTTGATAGATTCCAACGTGAAAGGATGACTTTACCCCGTGTACCTAATAATTGGGCTGCAATAGCTTTTGCAAGCAACTTAAATGATAAAAGTTCAGAAGCCACGAGAAGACTTAAAGAAAGCCTTCGAGAGTTCCCTGCAACCACGTGGAATGACGTTTATAACAGGTACAGTACGAAGTTGCGAATTGAGGAAGATACCGTACCTCAGTTTCATCATGAAGAAAGGAGCAATTCCAGGAGGTCAGAAACCGAAAAAGATCAGGTAAAAATATATACGATCCATATATGGGACCTGCAAGAAAAGACTCACGGTCAAAGGAGGATAATCAACGATATGATCAAAAATCGAGGAACAGGGAATCTGGTTCTTCATCAAGGTTCAGAAATGACCGAAACAGACAAGAGTCACGAGATGATGACAGAGGTTTAAAAGCGAGATTCGGTGGGTATAATTTCAATGTTACTACCTCCGAGCTCGTAGGTGTTTTAAGAAGCATGAGAGACAAGGTACGGTGGCCAAAAGAGATGCGGTCAAATCCAAATAGGCGCAATCCAGATCATTGGTGCGAATTCCACAATGATCACGGGCATAAGACTTCAGAATGTAGATTCTTACAAAGTGAAGTGGACCATCTATTGAAACAAGGGTATCTCACTGAGTTATTTAGTGAGAAAGGTAAGCAAGCCTATATGAAAAATAGGCAAGAACCACCAAACCCCCATCACCCAAGAGAACCGTGAATGTTATAAGTGGGGGAGAAGATATTTATGGTGTAACATATACGGCTTCCAACAAGGTTTCTAAAGTAACGATTACACACGGGAAATGGGTACGACAGGTTTTAGAAAATGAAAGTATTTCTTTCGATGATGCAGATACTGAAGGAGTGATGACCCCCCACAACGACGCACAGGTAATATCTTTACTTGTACACGTATTAATGTAAAACGAGTTTTGATTGATCCAGGAAGTTCCGTAAATATTATACTACTAAGGGTATTATGTGAAATGCAAGCTGAAGACAAAATGATACCGAAGGCGCATACCTTGTCCGGGTTAGACAATTCAAGTGTAGTAACAAAAGGAGAGGTAGTTCTAACAACTTTTGCTACAGGTGTTGTTAAAGAAACTAAATTTCAGATAGTAGATATGGAAATGGCTTATAATATGATCATGGGGAGACCTTGGATCCATGATATGGATGCTGTCCCATCAACTCTACATCAAGTTATTAAATTCCCATCTCCATGGGGAATATGCCAAATCAGAGGCGATCAACAAACATCTAGAAGCATCAATTCCGTTGCAGATTCAATTGTTAATGGTGGAGACAAATAGCAATTACAGAATTTAGGTGAGGGTAACACGGAGTCAACCTTACCTGAGCAAAAGCAAACAGATGTGGATTCGAGACCTGACACCATTCAAGAACCGGAGGAGAACGAAAATATCAAAACAACGATAGAAGAGCTAGAGGCCGTGGTGTTGTTTATACATTGGCCCGAGAGAAAAGTGTACATAGGAGCTAATCTTAGCCCGGAGGTAAAACGTAAATTGATTGAATTTTTAAAAGCTAATGCAGATTGTTTTGCTTGGTCCCATTCTGACATGACAGGGATACCACCGGAAGTCATGACTCATAAGTTGAATGAAGATCCATCATATCCTCCCGTCAAGCAAAAGAAAAGAAAGCAAGGAACTTTCAAAAATAAGGTGATTCAAGAGGAAGTTCAAAAGTTGCTAAAAATTGGTTCAATTCGTGAGGTAAAATATCCTAACTGGTTAGCTAATACTGTTGTGGTTCCTAAGAAGAACGGTAAGTGGCGAGTCTGTGTAGATTACACAGACCTTAATAAAGCCTGTCCAAAAGATTCCTTTCCTTTACCGCACATAGACCAGTTAATTGATGCTACTACAGAACATGAGCTATTAAGTTTTTTAGATGCATATTCAGGCTATAATCAAATCAAGATAGATCCAGGTGATGAAGAAAAAACTTCTTTTATAACAGACAGGGGGACTTACTGTTACAAGGTAATGCCCTTCGGTCTTAAGAATGCAGGTGCAACGTATCAAAGGTTGGTCACCCAAATGTTTCAAGAACATTTAGGTAAAACCATGGAAGTATATATAGATGATATGCTAGTTAAAACTCAACATTCAGAAGATCATATATCGCACCTATCTGATACGTTTAAAATTTTACGAAAATATAATATGAAATTGAATCCAGAAAAATGTGAATTTGGAGTGGCATCAGGAAAATTTTTAGGTTTTCTTGTTTCTAACCGTGGAATTGAAGTGAATCCCGCACAGATTAAGGCCATTGAAGAAATTCCAGATATACTTTCCAACAAGAAAAAGGTTCAAAGACTAACAGGAAGANTGAAAAGTAACAGGAGCGAGGGAGTCGAAGCAGGTAAGGGAGCAGAAATTGGCAAAGAAGCAGGAACAGATAAAATGGGCAAAGATGTACTTGAAACCAAAGGAGGAATAGAAGGAATAGGAATGGAAGAGGAAAGAGGAACCTCATCTAAAACCGGACCTAGTTCACCACTTTCGAAACCGTCAGTGAAGAGACGTTGAGTGGATTCAATGGTGTCCCTGGGAATGGTTTCATCATCGGAAACAATATTAACAGGAGAGGAGGCACGGGTAGGAGAAATTTCAGCTTCATCTTCGGAAATGATGCGTCTCCTGGCTCTAGGTCTAACTACCAAAGAGGTGTCTTCATCTTCATCATCCTCAGAATCCTCTTCAACAACTTTCCTCTTTGATAGCGTAGCTTGTGCTCTCTCCAAAGAAAGAGGAGTACCAAAAGAAGCTCGAAGGGCAATAGCTACTTCAGCTGACATTCCTCGAATAGCAAATCCTGACAAAAAGAAGGATAAAAAGTTAAAAGAGGGGAAAGAATTTAACATACGGGAAACAATAAGGGACGCATACCGTGAGTTTTTACTTTCCAACCATGTTTGTTAGAAATAGATTTCCAGGTTCGTGCCTCCATAGGCACGGCCTTCAAAATAGCATCTACCCAACCACGGAAATTAGGAACGGGTTCCACATCTCCCATGGTTGCTACAAAAAAGCAAAAAAGAATGAAATTAGAAAAGGAGTTGAAATAAAACAGATACGGTAAGAAAGAAAAACTTACGTGCAAGGTTCCATTTCTCAGGAAAAGGAATATTTGATTCACCCACCAAATCAACCGTGGGTACGCAACATAACGGGTGTACCAGCCTCGATCTTTATCATCTTCAGGGCTTACCAAAACCCTTTTACTTCTTGCAGTTAGGGTAAAAACACCATTGCGGAACAGCTTGGGGTGATAAAGATGAATTAGATGAGAGAAGGTAAAATCAACATCAGCCTTTACC